CCCCAAAGGACCCAGTGGGCTCCATGCTCACCATGGGTCCACAGGCCTCTCAGCGCTGAGTGCCCACCTCCAGCTCCAGCCGTGAAGAATGAGAAGTGAGCTCTTGCGCTCGACTGCAGCTAGGGGTTGATGCTTCCGTTTCCTGCCCATGACACCCCACCCAGCCCTCCCTGCCACAGGCCCTTGGGGGACCTTGGGCCTCTAGGGACCCCCGTGACCTGCACCAGATCCTCACTGGGCCAGGCTGGGGCTATGGGGCCTGTGACCAGGCCTCCAAGAGGAACTAGGCACCCAGCTCAAAGCAGGATATGGCCCTAGAGGTTTCCATGTGTCTTTTGCCTTAGTGTCCCTACCTGGCAGAATTCAGGGAAACTGACTGTGGGGGATGCTCATGGCCCCAGACCTTCCTCACATTGATGATCCCCATGGGCCTCATCCGTCCCGTTTCCTGGCTTCTTTTCCCAGCCCCACCCGGGCAGCAGAATGGCAAACCTGGCTTTTAGAAAGAGAATTTTATTTGGAATGAAAATATAGAGCCCACCCTCCTACTCCTCTAAGGAGGGAGCAGGGGGCCAGGCAGGGGTGGGGAGATGGTCCCTCAGAGTATAAGCTTGCCTTGGTACAAAAACCCTCCACAGTAAGAATGACAAAAGCCAGGTGGTGGCTCCAGCCAGGGCCCACAGGATGGGCCAGGGAGTGGGTGGGCCCCTGAATCTGCCCCAGAGGCCCTCAGCAGGGGCAGGGGGCAGGCAGCCAGCAGTGTGACCTGATGGCAGAGGCTGAGTGAGAAGGGGGCACAGGAGGAGCAGGCGAGGTGGGAGTGGGGAGTGGCATTCACTGGGCTATGGTCCTATGCGTCCCCATTTTCCATTCGGCCCAGCTGCTCCTCCAGGCGGCCAATTCGCTCCCCTTGCTCCTTGACCAGCACTCTCAGTGCCCGCAGCTCCTGCATCACCTCTTCCAGCTTCCCAGACTCCTGCAGGGACATGGGGGAGTCAGGGGTCACAGAGCCGTAGCCACCCCCCCCAAATTGACTACCAGGCAGGGGCCTGAGGCTCAGAGAGACAGCAAATGGTCCCGGCACATGCAGCACATGGGGGCTTCCCACCACCACCCAGACCACCCGGCACATACCCCAGCTCCAGCGAGGCTGCTGCTGGCGGTGGTTGTATTGGTGGAGGCCGCAGGTGTGGAGGCTCCCAGGCGAGTGGAGCCAGGGGCCATGGCTGGCCGGCTGTCAGATAATACGTTGCGCCGGCTGACCTTCAGGTCCCGATGTTTGCTGGGCACGTAGGCCTCCCGCAGGGAGATGAGGATTGGGTCTGCGTCCCGCCCGCTCACCCACTCCTCTGCCTCCAGGGCTGCCTCAGGCCCTGCTGTGTCGGGGTACAGATCATCCTGGAAGAGGTCCGACTGGGCAGGGGGTGGGGGAGGTTGATCAGCTGTGGGCCCACCATCAGGGTCCTCTCGTCTGGACTCTAGGTGGCCACCTCCTCATCACCCTCCTGGCCTCCAGGCCTGCACCCTGTCCACCCATACCCCAGTGGCCTGGCCCCAAGTCACCACCTTTCTAAGCTCAAATCTGTCCCTTCACTTCCCTTCTGGGCACGGCCAACAGCTCTCTCTGAAGCTTTCCCCAACCTTCCTAAGCAAGGCTTAGTGGGATTCTGGGCGCGCTGGCTGCACCCACGGTCTGTGAGCGCCTGGGGCAGGCCTGTCAGCCTCATTCACAGCTCGGCTCCCTGGGACGTGCCTGGCACTGAATGGCGCACTCAGCAGATGCTGGCTGGAGGATGAAACACGTCCAAGGCTCTTGGCTGGGCATCTGAGGCCCCGCCACAGGTGGCCTGATCCCCTCCTGATGGGGGCCTCCACTGCAGCCAGACTCCCTGTTCCTCTTTCCATTCCAGCTCTCTGCCCTGCGCCTGGCCTACTGCCCACCACTGGAGGGCCCTGCCCCAGCCACACTGTCAGCCGGCCTCCAACAGGAAGACCTCCAGACTGTCTCCAGTGGTTCATCCAGGGCAGGGCCTCGGCTCACCCTTATCTTGGCTTGCCCCCGCCCAGCACAGCCCAACACCTTGGGACACCCTGGCGTTTGTTCAGCCCACTGACTGCACCCACACTCAGCCGTGTCTCATTCACAGGCCTCACCCCAAGTGGCCTGTCTGCTAGAGAAGGGAGTGGGTGGACAGGGGAACTGGGTGGCCTCACCTTTCTTGGCACAGTCATGACAATGGGCTCACACTTGCGCTCATGTAGCTTGTAGAACCTGGAAAATAAAGGAGAGGGAGGAACTGTACATTGTACTCCCCTCACCAGCTCTCCTGGCTCCCTCTACTATCCATTTCTAATCTTCACCCCAGCCCTTCCCAGACTGACCCCTGACCCCGGGGCCTCCTAAGCAGCCTTCTATACTTTGACCTCTCAACCCTGACCCCAGGCCACCCCTCCCAAAGCCGGCTGCCCCAGGGGCCCCTCTTACCGGGCGATCTCGCACTTGCTGACCTCCAGGCCCCGCTTGGGCATGCTGCCCATACCCCTCTGGGGCTCTTTGCTGGTGAATGTGTTCAGGAAGTGGATGTAGGGGGGCTCGTCTGTGATCTCAAAGTACCGAATGCTGGAGTCGCCCTGCAGGGTGGGAGGGAACAGGTTTCAGCGGTCTGGTTGGGCAGCCCTCTTCCCAGTCCCACCAGGCCTGCCCATCCCCACCTTGCCGCAGACGTAGACCACACTGGTGTCGGGGTCATAAAAGGGCAAAAGGGCTCCGTTGCTTGAATCCAGCTCCTGCAGGGCCATGGGTTCTTCTAGGTTTTCCTGGTATGTGGGGTAGGGTGCATTCAGGCCAGGCTAGGCCAGAACCTCCCCTCTCCCCTCGATGTCCCAACCCTCCATCAGGACTGCCCCAGCCAGCTTCACATTGCAGCCAGCGTTGCCTCTACCAGGCTGGTGGGTCCTCTCCTACCTCTAAGCCTTTGCCTACATAGTGTAGGCCCTCCTGGCTCCTCTCTGCTCCCAGGGTCCCACTTCCCTGTCCTATTCCAGGCTTTTAGACTACTGAGCAAGTGCTGACAATCCCCACCACACGGGAGCTGGGGGTGCCAGATAGCATCAGCCTGTCTCAGGGGCCCCTGGAGATAAGGATACAGAAGTAGAGCTGTGGACAGAGCACTTCAGGGGAAGGGCTGGGAGGCTTCCTGGAGGAGGGAGCCTCTGCACTGGCAGAGCAGGCAGCTGAGTGGGAACAGGCAAGCAAAAGAGGGAAAAACCTTCTATTTGGCAAGAACAATGTGGACAAAGCCTCAGAGGTAGCTGGAGGCACTGGGGGGGGCCAGAGAGCAGGGGGCAGGGAGAGGAAAGGCTGGCGGGGCTCTGGGGCCTGAGAACCTCAGGTGTTAGGCTGAGAACCTGGGAACCACAGGTCTCTCCAGGGTGACTCCTGCACTTTTCACCCAGGGTAGGGCCTAAGTTTCAAGCCTGACGCCTCAGGCCAGCCATGGCCACTCACTGGGTCCCAGAGCGCCAGCTGCCGCTCGCTCATGCGGCTGAAGCCTGTGGTGAACACCTTGCCGTCTGCCAGAAAGATGGCCCGCATGGGCCGGGCTCCCTCGTGAGCCTTCTCCCGCTCCTGTTGGGGGACAATGTGGTCAGTGCAATGCCTCGATAGAGCCCTTTGACCTGTTCACTGCCACCCTCGCCCTCCAGGGCCACATACCGCCACCAAGGTGCCCCGGCGGGGGTCAATGATGCGCACGCTCTTGTCCTTGCACGCAGAGCAGAAGAGGCTGCCGTTGTGGTTCCAGCTGACATTGTAGATGAGGTCAGGGTGCAGGCTGTCCAGGCGATACAGCTCCTCCGCCGTGCCCACATTCCAGATGAGCACCACATTGTCACAGCCTGCCAGGTGGGGGCACATCAGCCCACCAGGCCCCCTTTGAGCACCCTCCTGGGACCAGACCCGACCTCTCGACCCCTGAGGGCCTCAGCTTTCTCATCTTTCAGATGGGCCTGGGAGGAGGTGTGGGAGGTTCCAGAGCTGTGCACGGAGAGGGCGAGGGTGGGGGAATGGTGCAGACCTGCGCTGAGCAGCACGTTGCGGGCCGTCGGGTGCCAGGTAACAATGCCCACTCGCTTGGTGTGCCCCTCCAGCACTACCACCGGCTCTGTCAGCGGGGAGACTAGCCCGTTCTCTGGGATCTGCCACACCTGTGGGAGGGATGAGGCTGCCGCCTAAGGCTTGTACTTGGCCATGCTTCTGGCCATCTTGAACCACACCTTCCACTTGGACCCACCACAGCCCCACTCCTCACCATGACTGTGCAGTCCTCTGAGCCGCTGGCAATGACTTCGTCATTGTGGGGACACCAGTCTATGTCCAGGACAGGTCCCGTGTGGCCACACACTGTCGGGTAGGCCTTGTCAATGCGGCCAGTCTGCGGGCATGAGGGGACAGTAAAGGAGGACTCAAAGCCCCCAAGCTCCGACCCTCCCAGAGCCTCAGTCTTCCCCTCCATAGAGCAGAAATGATGCACCTGGCCCACAGGTGGCCCACCTGTGCCTCACTGGCATCATCGGGTGAGCAGGAAATGTTAGCTCTAACCCTGACTCAGTGGCAATAAAAGATTTTCTCTTCCTGGGCTGCCACAGTAAGTGTGGATTATGACACCTGCCCGGCAGTGTAGGGATGTGGAGTGAGCAGATGTAGGTCTGGCAGGAGTGGCCAAGCCACCTCCAGTCCTTCCCCCAGCCCTCAATCACGGGCCCCACCTTGCTTAGGGGGAGCACCAGGAAGGCACCCCCGCCGCTGGCCTCCACAATCACAGCCAGGAACTTGGGGTTGACTGCGCAGAAGGTGCTATCCCAGGTGACACGGGACACTCGAATGTCTTCATAGCACTGGTCATTCTTGACCGGCTGCCCGAACACGTGTCGGAATTTGCTCTGCCGAACCACTTTTCGGAAGGACATGTCTGCAGTGTGCAGAGGCCACGTCAGCTGCCACCCAGCCCAACGACCCCTCAGCCTCCAGGGCTGCCTGAAGGGAGAGGGGAGGATGCCACTGGGGCCTGGCTCTCAGTTTCCCCTTACAGAATGGGGTCACAGGTGCAGACCCTGGCTGCCTGCCCCCAAGGGTGAAGAGGGCAATGCCACACGGCTGGGTCCTGAGAGGCTTTGCAGGACCCTCGCCCGGCGCCCCTAGCTGGCTCTGGTATGTGTGCGGGAGGGGGCAAGGGGGCGGAGGGCCGAGCCAGTTGCAGCTTAGCTTCTCCGAGGGTCCCAGTCATTCCCAGCGGGCTCCTTCCCGCCCAGGACGTGGAAGCCGGCTGGGGGGGTGGCGGTGGACCGAGGAGGCGGGGGCGGTCTCCGCCGAGGGGGCCGCGCTAGGCCCTAGTTCTGAGTCCCAGGGAACGTGCGGTGCCCG